ATTATTTGGTTTTTGTCATGAAAATTGTGCGAAAGTTTTTTACTTTCCTTACCTATCATAACCCAAAAGCCTCAAATTTTAGTAAGTTAATGTAAGATAAGCGGCTAAGTAGCAGGTGGCCCTCGGAATACTCTTTGGTGAAACTCCTGTTCTCTTTGAAGATTCAAAAACTGAGAAACATAATTATTTTACCGAAATATGCGCATGCATATCTATGTGAAGTGGGTTAATGTGGTGTCTTACGAGTAATCAAGCCAGCTTTAAAGCATTAGCATGAATGAAAAGTTATCAGTTGCTTTAATTAACACATGCACCTAAGTGTCATTGGTAGGGTACCTGCGACTAGGCATTGAAATGCTTGCCAAATTGCAAAGTTCATTTCCATTTATGGCCCCTTATGTCGACTTGGCCTTTGTGATTTGTTGAATAGCGCCACAGCGCAGGAATATGGGTTTAACTTTTGAAGTAATTTTGAGTTATGGGATCAGAACCTGTCTACCTACACCGAGATGGCTCACAGAAATCATCGTGTTTGCACTATGATTGTCCGCAATTCGTTATCTCACACCCACTGGTTAGCCTACCTGAATCTCGCAAGCTCTACTTACCACGCTAACCACCGTTCTTGGTTCTAGAATAACCTGGGGAAAACTTCATTTTATCTGTGTCATCATTATGTAGAACAAAGATTATTCCGTGTTAGCTTATACAATGAGGGCCCACTTGGTCGCTTTGGCAGTTGTCGAAAGGAACACATCAATAATTGACCAGAAACATGTTCTCTCTCCGTTTTTCAATCCACACCGTTTTTAAATGGGTCGGGTGATTTCGTCATCTGTTGAGCAGACGATGAATTGCTGAGGCTCGAAGGGTTTTATGATGCCTTAAGAGGATGTTGCGTTACTAAGGTCAACTTTTGACGACTGGAGTAGTCGAATGCACCACAGCCAGTTAAGGGGCCTCTTAACGACTCGAAAACACGAGGGACTGAGTTCATGCTCGCATAAGATGTGTTTTTTTTCTTCTACGTGCCGGCTTTTCGGTCTACGTAGGAATTCCATCAGTCAACATCTCTAATGAGTCGCCAGTAATTCAAAATCAGACTGCATAAAAAGTTACAGTGTGTTTTAACCTTATCACAATTATGCGGTTATCGCACAAAATGCACAAAATGATGGCAGCTTCCACTAACTGATTGTATCTATTGTATCTATTTACTTAAGGTCATTGCCTTTGAAAGCATTAGAGCTGAATTAACGTATTCGGCTTGGAATAGCTAGGTTCAAAAGTATTTGATGTTGTTCTTTTGGCACCGTAATTTCACACCATTTGTATAAAATTTGCACTTTCTAACTCGTCTTTCACTGTGGTAAGTGTAGGAAATTTGCGTACTTATGCAAATGTCAGTTTGCCTACAGCTGAGGACCTGATTTTTTCTCTGTGGCTTTGAGAAGAGCCAGTTGAAGAGACTCTCACGGGGATCTCTGCGCTAGCGGAAAGGGCGGAGGCACACCCCGCAATAAATCAGAGGCAAAATTCGTTGCAGAATGGCCTTATGACTCTCGGTAATCCTGGGAGGATGAGGCAAACCACTCTGAGTTTACAGATTCAAGTAATTCATTTGAAAATTCAGTGGTTTGTGCAGAGTGCACCAATGCCGTATTCTGTTGCGCCAACTACCGACTGCCGCCATTGTTGTTTCACAAAGAGGTCTTCAATTTCACCTACTAAAATGTCCAATACATTACTAAATTTATGCACTAAGTAGGTATTCTTTGGGGAAGAGAGAAATTGCCGACTTCATTCAAATCAGTCATCTTGTAATGGTCAAACTAGTAAATTTCTACATTAGGTGTTTAATGATATAACTAAGTGTATCTTCTTCAAGTTATCCGGCAAATGTAAGTTCATCTACTTCTTCGACTTTTGCATTTTTGAAACCCCGTTAAAAAAAACCAGTAGTGCATGTATGCTGCAATCCTGGTGTTGGTAATATGGGTAACTTTGAATGCACACCAAGGGAGGAGTACAAGAATTACTAAGGAAATGGAGAATCTTATGCAACTGGGAACAGAAATTCTCCTAATGCGAGTGCTACACTATGTGTTCTTACGTTCCCTAAGAAATGTTTAAAACTCCAGATAACTGTATTCATGGAATCACTGAAATCCACTTTAAAACCATATCTGAAAATAAGAATAAACTGTCCTTCAAAAGTATTAGTTTTCCTACACATCTGGCGTTTTTATTTCTTACTGATCATGTTTAGAGCCTTAAGGGTGTGCCAATCTTGAATAATTTCAGCCCTCTACCTTAACACTCTCTTTCGTTAAACCTTTTTTTGAGAATGGTGAAAAATGTAAAAAAAGCGAAAATTTCTCCCATAAAGTTACTTCTCCACACCACAGCATGAAGGAAGCATCACGTGGTTTCAACCATGCATTGTGTTTATCGCTAAGCCCTGGACCCCATCGCGGTGTCTTACACTTCATTCCAAATAGACACGAAGTCGAAAACATGCGAGACTACTAACATTAGCCCATTTACTAACAAAGGATTACGGTGTGCAGACCTCGGCTGCTTTAAAGAGAGGAGGCGCCTACAGGCGCACCATGCGAAACCGCCACGTGAGAGGGTGCCAAGCGCAGCGGTGAGCAAGTGGCAGCATTTCGCAATCTTGCTTTACATTTCCACGCTTCGCATCGTAGTGCATTCACCAAAGTGTGGTTTAAACTTATTCTCCCCCTCAGTATTAATTACGTCCTCTTTAATTTCTCCAGCAAATATCAATGAAGCGAACTGCCATAGTTAAACAAGTTGCCTTATACATATAACATTTGGTTCACCGCTTTCATGATTGCATTGACATCATTTCTGTGTAATGTCACTAAAGGACACTATGGCTTTCATTTGCGGAGATGATCTTGTTGAAACGCGCCAAACAAAATCATTACTTTCAAGACAATAAAAATTTCTAGAGACAATAGACTTATTTTATCACCTTTAGAAAGCAATCATAGGCCAAATTTAAAACTTTCTCAAATAAAGCATGTTGACATTTTCAGTACTTTTTTACTGTAGTAATCAGGGTGGGGAAAAGGGAGCCCAGAATGTGTCTGCAGAGTGCCTCCTTTATACGTTCATTCACTTTCGACATAAGCACCTGGGTGTGTATTCCTGCACGCGGCCAAATTCGGCCATGTCCATGGAGCATAACCAGCCAGAAAATTAGTTAAATGAAATGGTTTTTTTAAGTAATGCCCACTTTTGCTTCAAGTAATAGTATCCACCGAAAAACTAGTTTCATTGGCAGTTAATCAGCGGCCTCGACCAAATATCCACCGGTTCACAAGTGTCGAACCAACCGGATGCTTGCTTGGAGGTGGGTAAGGATTGGTTGCCTTTTTGTATGGTTGAGTAAATTGCAGAGGGATCACTTTGCATAAAGTCAACTTAGGCACAAAACACCTGTCTGGAATGATGATATTTGCCAAAATTTTAATAATTGCACACACAACTTGAAGGGGAGACAGTTCAAATACTGTATGCTTAGGTTCTGAAATTTCATTTAAACACCATAAAATAAGCATCCGCATTTGAAACAGACAAAAATATTGGTATATTTGGGAGATTGGCTGTAGTATTAGCAGGTTATTGGTCCACTTTTGGGGCACAATGAACGAGTAAAGAGCGGTGTATTAACAGCATCTTCGTTTACTTCTTTAGTAGGTGACTCCAAAAACACCGATCACCTGAGGGCAGTCTTTTAATATGTTATTTACACGTGCATGTAGCAAAAGGGAGCACAAAAGTAGTCGAAACACCTGCCCATGTGGTTGTGGGTAGCTGGAAACTAATTTTCAGCTAAAATCAATCCCTTACTTGAATTTAAAGGCCCTTTCTTCGTATTTTTTTGAACAAAAATCTCCCAAGCACTGCCACTTTCTTTTTGATTTCACGCTGTCAGCTGTTTCCTTGGAGTGTGCCGGCATTTGGAAGAAAGCTCACACTCTGTGTGAGAAAGGGTAACAAGTACCTTCAACCACACATCCCATGATCGTCGCAATTCATTCAGCTTACTCAAGGCTCCTGTAATGCCCTCCAAAGTTTATGCAAAAATTGTGCCATTGCAGTTATAAGACTTGCCCGAAAGTTTAATTTTATTCAGACGAAACCAATGCCACGTCTTTTTGCAGCACATTCAATATGAGATCATATGCTCTCTTTATACATTCCACATCGGCAAACAAAAGTCGTATTTCGATGGTATTGGGATTAAAAGCTAGGGCTCTGACATTCCCAAGGCTCAAATTTTGTACTTTTAAACTGTTATTGATTACCAATAATAACAGAAGCCCTGTGAGACACCCTTGAAGTGAGTGTTGTTGAATGTGCCCCCCATGTCCGTCTATATCTACATTACCTCTGTACCGTAATTACGTGATAGTGTACGCATGAGGACACATGTAACTGCAGTGAACTTTTATAAGTGTTGTTCAGTTTTAGATATTTTTGCGGGAACTTTTCATTGTTCACACATGTAATTGTGCAAATGCCTCCGGTGATAAATCAGCTCTCTAGATTCCTGACGCTCTACGTATCACAAGGCTTTGTGACCATCTGTCTTACCGTGAGATTACTGTGCTTTACAATTACTTAGCAGCGTAACTCATGGAACAGTACTTTTCACAAGAAGTACAGTAAAACCCACTTGAATTTATCCGTTAACCTTCTTACCACCTGGGATCCTCACTTCTTGTTGTTTGTCTCAAGAGAAGGCAGAGGCAAAGTAGAGAACGATGAGTGTTTTGATTCAATGATGGACCCATTCGGAGACGGGTTGTTAACCACGTAAGTTTGTGTTGTGTAATCAAATGCTCTTTGAACACTGAAATGTGTTTGAAGTGTCAAAACCACATGATGGCTTTAGATTTAGTAAGTGACTTTCATAACACGACTCCTTAACAGTGACAGAAGGTATGCCCCATCCCTTGTCAATCCAATCCTACTCGTGACTGACGAGCTCCAAGGTTGAAACCTGTGCGTTCCAAATAGTGAAGTCAAAGTTTTGTCTATATCTATTCATTAATATTCAAACATTCGATTAACGATGTGTTCAAATAAACCTAAAAATAAATCACTGAAGTTGCATTCAGTAGGCAAGTCGAATGCATTACCGGTGAATTAATTTACTTAACTGTGAAGGAAATGTGCAGGGAAGGTACGGCGTGATGTGTGACAGATTCATTATGTATATTCGGGGTTACTTAATGTGGATCACATTACTAGGCTCACTGCCCTCTATTAATACACGGTTTTTGGAATGCCGCCAAACACCTAGTCATCTGTTCTTTGTTGAACCGCATGCTTTGGCCGAAGCGGCCTGCACGTCGCCCTCCCTACCAGAACCTCTGCCTCAATTTTCCTGACTTTTGTAACCGACAAAATTTAGAAGTTGTCATCACGCACTTTTAAAATATGTGTAATTTAAAATTCCAGGTATAATAACTAAACCAAAGGGAGGGCACTGAAGACGCAGCGAAAATTAGCCTGTTCACAGCACAGGCGCTCTGATATCTCACCAACACTGTCAAGTGCACGCTATCCACAATTAGACATTAATGGTCTGATATGACAGAATAGTATCTTGCTCCAGGCTTCACGAAACTTTCTAACTTTGATGCAATTGCAAGAAGCAATGGGGAAAGCATGAGAATCCATATTTATATAAGTTAAATGCCACCAGCTTTTCCAAAACATCAAGGGAAAGGAAAAAAATATCACTGTAGATTCTCCATCCATTTCATCTTACCCCCAACATTCTTTCCGGCCTTCCGCAGTCATTAAAAGAGTCTTATGGAGTCAAAGAAATTTTATTAGCTCTAGGTAAGCTAGACTACAATACCGATCTATTTAATTCGAAATAAATTTTATCTCACCGTTGCTCTAACACTTGTAGCACAACAAAATTAGTGCCCTTGTTTGGGAAGTTGACAATGTGGAAAACACATCATACTGGTATACTCGGGTTTTTCCGCGTGATACGATTAATGCGACCCAAGCTATGCACCATTTCGAAACACGGAGTCAGTCAGAGCCAAATCAAGGGTGTATTCTTAAAATTGCCGCCCTCCCTCACTCCAAGCTTGTTTTCTTATCGAAAAGGTATGCAGGGCAATGGATTGTTCTGGCTTCTTCTCACTATCCCAAGGTGTAATTCGTAAATGTGAGAATTCAGCCGCCATGTATTTGCGCGGTGCGTGAAACCTCAACTCGAGTTGGATGCCTCTCGAGGCCCCTAGATTCGTTAAAAATTTGGTAGGTCCTACTGTTTCAGTGATGTAAGTCGTCTGGTAGTAACATATAAGTTGGGTTGGAATTTACGGAAGATTGCCCTTCAATTTTATAAACACTCACGGTAAAATCGTCATAAAGTTGAATCACGGCGAAACCTCCATTGCAATTAACATTTCACTTTGATTGCTTTGTAGTTTGTTGCCGAGCTATTTTGAAGAGAGTGAGCAATGCAAAGGAATAAGCGTTCTTTTATAGCCCTACCTTCTACCTATCTAGTAAGGTGGAATTGATTTGCCCCCATAATTCTTTATCCCATCAAAGGACTCCAAACTCACCGGTTTTGCTTAAAGCGTAAAAGCTGCTCAAATCTGGAAGACACGTGCCTGTGCAGAATAATGAAAAGTAAGAGGATGAATTCTCATCAACTGTTGTAAATTACTCCCAGCAGTAGAGTTATGTCCCCAAACATGCTATCACTTCTTAACAGGGCCCCTTATTTAGATTTACATCCGAAATTTTGCCCCAGGAAGTGTTCCCCTTTAAAATTTATGATTTTACGAAGGCAACCGACTAAATGAGCTTAAAAGTACCTGCAATTTTAGTGATGGTTCAAAAAAGTGTGTTGTCTGTTTGTTCAGAGAACAAGCAGTAGCACCGACAAACACAATCGGAGTGCCGATCACGTGCATAATCAAGTGATGCCTCCGGTTTATAATTTCTCGACTAAGTATGCAGTAAGACAAGCACAAGATATCTGTTTCGTTAATGGAAGCGTCTTTAAAACAGTCAGCGTTAAAGGTTGGCAGCGAGCACTCCGTCCAGGCACCAACGCAACTTTTATCTTGTGAAAGGTTGTACATTTTGCTACTTCAGGACGAGCAGTTTTGGGTGGATTTATTTGGCATATGTCAAAAACATAAGTGTTGTCTTCAGTGAGGTGTACACTTTACCAAATATTTACATTTTTTATTTATCAAGGCGTTTCAAATCCTTCTCGGTAGCATTTTTATGCACCAAAAGGTGAGTTTTAGCTTCATGCAGTGTTTGGCGCTGTTTTCAAAGCCTGTCGGCAGCATGGCTAATGTTGCACCGGCTGATTAGCAATGCATTGAGATATCCACGCAATTACGGACAAAGTCAACTATGTCCTTAGTCAAATGAGGTCCTCTGGCAATCTTTTCGAAATAGGAGTCGATTGAACGATTGAGTTATGTGCATTATCTACATGTAAATGCTTGTTCCTATTTTTACGGGCTTTCACTACCGCAGAAGCCATTTGGTTTCAACCATTTTAAAAGGGCAAATATTTTAATCCAACTATACCACGACCGTGTTTGCGCCTTCAAACGTAAATCCGGTAACATGTCAACCTGTAAATTGGCAGACTTCCTGGTGTACATGAGGCACCATGGCACGTCATCACGTCGCATGGAAAGCGGCTGTGGACCCGTCTGTCTTGGTCGTTGGTTGACTCATCGAGAGCAGATTGTCAATCGCACAAACACTCCAGGCTTGAGTAAAAAGGCACAAAACCCAATGTGAAGTAGTTCTTTCAGCCTGCATTTTTCACGTTATTAGTTTTCCTAGGAAAATCAAGCACTGACATATGCATTGTGGTGCATAGTGGCATTTGGCCTCCAATAGATCCTCTAAAACCAATGAACTTGACAGTTTACTGCATTTACGCAATCAAGACCATGCCTGCTGAAGGAGTCGCCGCCCACAAATAGGCGCAACACTTTTGCTAGGGTGAACATAAGGGCCTCAAAATCACAGTCCGGAGGATGTAAAGAGTACAGCAAATAAGCTGGGCACTTAGGAAGTGCTAAAGACAACAGTGGATTTTATTTACTCTGATTGGTAGTCGTTCACCGTCAAATGTCTTATGCGTAAACGAGTGAAGAAACAATTACCGTCTGCAGTTACCAGTATCGTGTAATATTAACTATTTAGTTTCTTATTACCTACTTGAAAGCAGTTGGCAGTCGGAGGAGTTATTTATACTCGGTACGACCTTAGGTCTGTGCCACAAATGACGTGCCTTAATGGCATTCTTTTCTAAAAGTGGCCTGACCACGAGCGTACCTGGAGGAAGGCGATCTGAAATCTGAAAATTTCAAGCACATTTGCGAGCCTAGGGTATCGGTGTCAAATAAAATTGTTCTTGGCCCCTGTTAATCTGATAATAGGCGCCAAGAGTTGCTTGGTAGTTATTTTGCAAAAATGAGCTACAGAAAGACATTAATTGACACGATCTTTGGCAAGGTTTGTTTGAATTCATTGTTGACCTGCTCTAAGTTCATAAACATCTTATCGAATTCACGAAAGGGACTTTTAAATGCTCTTCATGAGGCTAAAGTTGATGATTAAAAAGTTGGGGTGGTGACATTGGCAAATTGATTGTAAGAAAAGCTTATTACTTACTACTTTTGTCTTCTATTTATGTATTAAATTTATTTTTTTATGTTGGTTGACTGAAAAGTGCTATGATGGGCTATTTAAAGGAAGATGAGGTCCAATTCAATGGTGGGTTAGGAGTTCATTTAGCTCAAAAAAATTTCCTTTTTAAGGTAAGTCAACTCGTTCACCGTGAAATGCATATTGTCTTATGTTAGTTTGAAAGAGTGTGTACCCGTAATGAGTTCTCGGAAAAAAGGCAAAAACACATCTAGTGCATTCAAGAAGATTTTCATAGCGTATGCTTCGAAGCCTCAAGGAATTCAAATTGCGCATTTTTGAGATCCCACCAAACTCAAGTGGCAAGCGTTTACTCGACTTAAATGGAATAAACCGCCAATGGCAGAAGCAATGGATTAAACAGACGAACAACTTTCAACCTCATTTGTTTTACGCCATTGTATGTCACTTTGCGAGGAATGGATGATTTGGAAGCGAACGCAGGAGTCTACGCTCTTAATCGAAGCTTGTTTACCCATCTTGTCAATAAGGGACCCTCCATTTGATTAACTGCGCCACATACAGTGGCTACCTGTGATTATATTGCATTTTGCCATGCGCCAAGAAAAGGTATTTATTTCAATGAGCCTAAGTTATTTGCTCAAAACAGCCTTGCTGAGCAGCAGCCGTGTGAGAAATTTTGCTTTAATCTAATCAACCCTGAGTCGTGGTAAAACATCGCGAATGATATTACAGGTTCCATCTCGAAGGCTTGAGGGTATTAAATGTTGCCTGGATAATTATGGCAAATGATCAAATGGAGATTATTTTACTAGCTAATATTGTTACCCATTTCTTCCACGATTCATTACCACAATTCCTCATCGTACAGGTGGCTGCGTACTTTTCATAATTGCATACTCCGTTGGTGTGGATAGCTGGAAGTTGGCCTGGTGCATGTAAAATAATGTGCCGGTCTACTCAGCGCTTGTAGGTGGCTCATAATGCAAAGTGGTTACCCATGAAATCCATCTACTTTACCCTACCGCATTCACGTCTGAGTGCATTTTCTTGACAGGTCAGCAATGCATCGCGGATACAAAGGGCTCTAAAATAAATTTCAGGAGGTTTGTTCTTGAAAAGTAGATTGAGAAAGTTTGCCGGTGTGGGAACGCTTTGAGAGGTGAGTATGGTTATTTTCGCTGGGTGGCGGTAGATGAATAAGTGGATAGGTATACAGATAGCTTACGGAAAATACGTTTGTTGGCGTTTGTGAATTTGGGTGCCTCGGTTTCAAGCTGCACCTACTGCTTGGTGTGCTAGAATGTCTAAATTCAATTCTAGTGAAGTGGTTTATCGTTGATGCCTGACGCATGCCGGAGTGCTCTGGTTTCAGACGGCGCCAAGCGATAGGCACTAAGTGCCAGAATCCTCTCTTCAACTTTGGATCAGCTTTCTTCCCTAAAGAACCTTGGAACAGAGTCCACCGACCTAAGCGGCATAGTACATGCTATTCCCTAATGCACGAAACAGAGGGTTTGGCCTCCAAACCAGTGATTCTGTTCGAATGATATAAACACACCATTGCTGTTTACCTCCAAAGATGCAAATGAAACCGAACAAAGCATTGTTGCATCATATTTTTTTAACAGTTAAGAAGTCGCACAACTAGCATGTATTCATTCTTGCGCCAAGCAGAAAGGGACATTCTCAAACTTCGAGTGCCGACGGAATAGAGCGCTATGGCCCATCAGTATTATTATTATTCACAAGTCACTCTAGATCACAAATGGAGAAGCCTTTAAGCATCTGGCGATTTGGACGTCCTGTACTCAAATACTGAGTCAATGGATTCCGAAATAGCACTGAAGTTAAGGCGCAAAACACATCCGAAGTCCTATCAGGTGCCAATACCAAAAAAAGGTAAAGTTGATTCTGAAGGCATTGCACTGTCTTATAATAAGGAAACGACCAAAATCTGACCCATTCTTTATTATGACATTTAGCAATCAGATAAATCTCACCGGCATTCAAAAATGTATCTCCTTTTGGTGACCAGCATAGGCTTAATCAGTATGGATATCTATTATGAAAAATGTGGAAAATTGTGTGTTCTGTCAACATGACAGCAAAGTGCGTCCGGCTGCCTTTGTAACGCTGGCAGAATTCTGCCTTTTGGACGGCACAATTGTTATTTATGGTCTTCCCAGGGCAGTGTGGCAGACGGAAGGGACGAAGTGAGTCACAGACGCACGCAGCCACGCCGCGCCTTCAGATGTTTATCTGGCGGGCTCTTCACCGAAGTGCCCTGGAGGCCAAAGAATAGGCATGAAATAGTCTTTCGGAAGAGAAATACTGCTCTAGCGTTTCTTCTGCGCGTAAGACCTCGAATGGCTATTGACAAGTCGCAGGAAAGTTGAAATGAACATTAGACCTGGAACGTGTTAGTATTCGTTGCCTACTGGGAAAAAGGACCAGTCCTTCTTCAAATCTGAAGCAATGTACTCGTAAATTTAATGGTTCTGATTAGCAAGAAAGAGCACTCATGCAGTGTTATTATTTATTTAACCTAATAACAGTGTTGAAAACCCAGACTCGTCTTTTTCATAATGACCTTTGAAACCCTTGATCTGTCACATCTAATGTAATCTACTCAAGTGTTTGCATAAGCGTTTAGACCCTTAGTTGTAATTAAATTTTGGTTCGCTATTTAAGAAGATAGCTGTCTGTTATTATTCGTTCATTACATAAATGCTGGCTAATACTTTGCTTATTTACTCTACTGATGGAACTGTTACCAGGTGAATAGCAAATATCGGAACTAGGACGTATTCAGGCACAGGAAGACGTCAGTCTCATAACTGGGAAGTAAAGTGAATGAAAAAGGCTCCATTTAAGAAATATAGACAAGAAAGCCGTGTTATTATAAAAGGAAAGCGGCACTGATACTTTTAGCTATTATGCTACCCGAAAAGAGGTAATCATGCAAGGAAAGCACAAATTAAATGGCAAAAGTTACGTAAC